AGAGAGCGTAGAGGTGCGCGCCAAATGAGCCTGATGTGAAGAATGATGCAATAATTGATGTCTGTAAATATTGTTTGTAAATAAATTATTAATATGCTAAAATAATCAAACTCTTACTTCTTCCTCCCCCCAACCGAGCTACTCGACACCTGAACAAATGATATGATTACAACAATTAATAATCGTAAATTTTTACAAAAATATTATTTTTGTTAAAATTTTGATAAAAAAAAAATATATGATCTCAATTTTATATAAATGCTTTTAACGTTTTTTCTCCCCTTCTCCAGAGATCACATGACTATCCCTTTTTCTGGGGGCATCTAATTGAGGAGTTAGCCTCGACCATCCACATACCACTGCTACAAAACTAAAGCGATATTTTTTTAAGGACATCACAAATATTTGTATATTGCATTTAGTTGCGCAATGCCTGCAGATGTCACATTGAACTTGTGTCCAGGGCTTTTAATTATCGACAGTGTATTCTCACCCGACCCCCTGATGTTATGATGTTGATTTGAATAATTTTCGGAATAATGCTTACTATCTCTTTCACAACTTTGTTCTATATAAAGAGAATCCGATTGCGGGTCAAAATCCTTGGAAATGACCCAGCTATTTTTTTTCTTTCCCTTCATCACGTGCAGTCTACGTACGAAAGCTCACTCATACGTGTTGGCTCGTTCATCAACTGTGAAAAGAACACAATGCCGTCGCATGACCCCGCCCTCTCCTCTCTCCCCCTCTGACTTCCATTCATGATTCTAGAGATCAGTCACCGTGTCATCATCGGAATCGGCGGTAAAAATTCCGTGTGACACAAAGAATGGAGTCATTTCTCCCTTTTATCATTCCAGTGAAGGGCTGAAAAACTGGAATGGGTCTCGCATCGTCTGCGCCCACGATTTCGAGGAAAAAGTGCAACGTGATTTCGTACTTCCAGCGATGCTCATTTAAAATCGTTTTCTTTTTTTTTTTTCGAAATTTAAAATTTTTTTTTTCTATTTCTGTTAAACCGTTATTATTTTTTTTAAAATAAAAAAAAATTTCTTGGCCTTGACTTTGTGGTCTTATTTTTTTAAACATTATTTATTATTGTTTCACATCGCATAGCTGGCGATTTCAGACTCCTTTTCCTAGAATAAAGTGTCAGCGTCGAGCGTAACGTTCGGGTTATAATCGTAAATAATCTACAATATAGTTGTATTTTATTGTTTAAAATTTAATATATTTCGTTTAAGAGCTGGTGAAAAATGCATTTAATTACATAAAAAATTTGTGGAAAAATTTAATTATATCAAATTGCAGGATAATTTTTTTAAATATTTATTATATCTTATTTTAACTTGTCTATTTTTACCTTTTTTTTCGCAGGGGTCTTTCTTTTCATTAGATAGATTTTGCCTGTTTAATTAATCATTGCTTATCTAGTAAAGAAAAGTCATAAACTATTCTTTAAAATTTAATATCTCGTAATAATAAAGTTTAGAAAAAATGCATTTAAGAATAAGTTAATGACCATAAAAAAAATTTAATTGTATGAAAATGCCAAATTAATTTCATAGCATTTGTATTAATTCATCTCTAATTATATTTCGACCACTTTGGCGACTCGTGTCGTAGTGGAAACTTAAGATTTTAATTAATTTTTTATTTCAAATTCATTTCCTTTCGTTGCTTGTATAACGCTACGTATCTTCAGTTAAAATACTTTTTAAAAAAAATTACACTTTTTTAATTTAAAAAATAAAGATATTTAAATAAATCGGTTTTATCTTTTCACAGGATTGCAATGTTTACGTAATTATTATTAGCATATTTGCTAACGATTTTTGAAAATAAGGAGAGCACTTTCTGCGTGTTCACTTTTAAAACGCCTTTAAATCATTTAAAAGGAAAACATTCAACGAATTGGAAACCATTTGTGTTAATGTTCATGTGTACCAGTTCTCAATTCGTTTTTGTGGTTTTTAATTGTTGCAAATCAATACGATACCCGGAAGTCTGGAAAAATCATTTGAGATATTCCTTAGTGATTGTTCCCTGTCCGCCATGAGTGAACCTTCTAACCTTTTTCTTTTTAAATCGTATGCTTTGGTGGATAAAAAAGCAGAAGATAAGACTCGCTATCAGAGATACTTGAGAAGGAAGGCTCTGTCGCCCACTTGAATTTTCTTTAACCCTTCTTTTCACTATTATCGCTTGCCATTAAAATGAGAACGGAAATAGAATTCTGGGAAAACACATTCTAATGAAAATAATTAATATAAAAAAACATTTTGCAGAAGATATTTTTCTCTCTTTGATGAGATCATAGAATTCATGAGATATTTTTTTGTTTTGTTTTTAAATTTCAGCATGTGTTCTTATTTAGACATCTGTTTTTAAATTTTTTTGACTTTAATTAGTTAAAAGTTCTCGACCTTTTGAAGAACAAATTTTGATGTGTTTATTAAAAAATTAATTTTTTTTATATGTTGATTTAAGTCTGCTTTATGTCCGGAAAAATGATGTCAATACTTTGAAACTTGATAGTTTTTACCCTGCCTAACAAACCTGCTTAACCAAATCTTTAAAATATGCCTAACAAACTGCTCGAGTACTTAAGGGTGTTTTATGTATTTTATTTTAAGGGGGGAGGGTGCAATTCACTTGTCATCGAAGGTGGTTAGTAGACTTGACTTTTGATGATGTTATCGAATTTTTCCCATTTTACCTAATTTTTACCATTTGTTTCAAGTGAAAATATCAAAATACTATTTTTGTTTTATAGAAAATGCATTGTTGAAATAAGTGTAAATAAGGAGAGCATTAAATTTTATGTGTGTTTAAGTACAAATGATTTTTCATTAATTTGAAAAAGTTCGAAACGATGTCTGACCTATTAAAGAGGAAAATGAAATACCGAAATTTCATTAGATCTAAGCACCTTTTACGTGGAATTCTACCTATTATTTCGAGAATTTTGTCTGATCACCTGTTTTTATTTTCTTCCGTTTACGACTTTTAAAATTATTTTCGCGAATGTGCGTCACGAAGTCGTCATTCGCTATTTACATATTGGATTTTCAAACACCTGTTGTTTGTTCAAAGTTGATGAGATTCTTGGAATGGTCATGTTTCTTTCAAAGAATTTGCTGAATGATCCATTTTTGATCTAAAGCCATGAAAAACTTATCCGAAATAGTTCCGTAGCTTATACTTTTTACGTGCTTGAATTTATTACGTTTTTCGTTTGATTTTGGGCGAAATGTTTTATCCCCTTGTTTTGATAGATATCAAATTTAATGACAATGTCGAGTTGTTTGTGGTAGTAGTGTTGTTCAAGGCGCTTAATAATGATAATATACATAGGTTTATCAATATACGACAATATCGGGATCATTAATGTAATGATTACAATATCGAATACGAAAATGTCGCGGTCATTATTGATTATATAATTATTGATTAAGATATTATTCTCGCTGCTTAAAAAATTTTATTTCGATAAAATTTGATCTATGTAAAAATAATATAAAAGAGTTAGCTTTAAAAAATATCGTTGTACATTGTTAAATATAGATATTTTTTGCAAATTAACCTTATTATTAAAATTCAGCACTTATTGGTTACAAAGACCAGTGTTCGCGCCTGCAACAGCTCGGAAAAGCAGTTGCCAATATATATACCTTATAACCAATAGCTACTTATATTTATTTGCCTTTTCTTTCAGAAGAGCTCCCTTTAGTTTCATTTTCGTAATTATTTGCCTTTCTCCTGAAAAAAAATATTTCGAAAAACAAATATAGACTTTTAGTTATTTTTCTAAGTAATTGCAAAAACCATTAATGTTTAAACTCACTTTTTCATTGATTATTATTATTATTGTGAAAATACCAGTGTCGGATTAAGCGTATGCGGGGGCCCTAGGCCATACAAATTTTTGGGGCCCTTTTTTTTTTGTATATTTTTTATTTATTCAAATATAAAAGTATTTATAGATCTTTTCATTTAAGAAAGCATATTTAAAATAAAAATAAATAATAATAAATTAAATTTTACTTTATTTTGTTAAATTAGAACTAAAAAATAATCATAACATTTTATAATAATCTTAACATATATGTTTGAAATAGATTTTTTTTGTAAAAAAATCATTGTTTTTCTTAATTTTTTAAAATTTATTTTAAAAAAATCCATTTTTAGAGGGCCCCTAATCATTGGGGGCCCCAGGCCATGGCCTAGTCTGGCCTTATAGGTAATCTGGCACTGGAAAATATTCACACGAGAATGAAAAATGAGAGCTGCTGGTTACGCTTGTAATTATGCTGTTAAAATTAAGAATTTAAAATGTGAAGACTGTCTTAATATTTTTTATTTATTTATTTATTTTTTGCCATCTTAAATAAATAGATTGCACTCCTAAGCTTATATAAAATTTTGTTTTTTAAAATGTAACTTTTTCCACTAAGTTTGTAAGTTTTGCAATTAACAAGGGATTTTCTACTATACATTTAATTAAGAGCATTTCATGAGTATTGCTCTATTCATAAAAAGGATGTCTTGAAATAGTATTGAAAACTGGCTGGCATTTATATGACAATTAGCAAAACCATACCCTATATGTGCCAGTGTGGAAGGTACCAAAAGGCTTGATAAATTATGTAACTATTGTGATCCGAGATTTCATCGGAATAGTACTCATCCTGTCTTCATGTGGGTTAAAAAATTGACCAATGTATACAGTTAAATTAAATAATGGTGACTTGCAAAACTAAAATCAATTAATCAGTTAAAGGTTAAATTTCATCAACATTAGAAATGGAACAGTTGAACTTAAAAAACCATTTAATCTAGTTATGAATTAATCTAAATTGTAGTGTGACAATATTGCAGTTATGTGTCTGAACCTCCATTATTATATAAAGTTTTATAATTCTTATATTATTTTTTCTTTAACAAAAAGTTAGTATGTATGCCTATGATTTGATTAGTGTTTGCTGTTTTGTTTTCAGAGCCCCAGCCATGCGTCGAGTACAGGGATGGCAGGTACTCAGTACTATCCATATCCTAACTTTGGTCCTCCATATTTTCAACCTCCTAGTCACTTACAACCAGCAGCCCTTAGTCCACAAAGTATACCAGGTGTACTGCAAACACCACCATCTCAATGCAATGGTGAATCTCCTCTAGGTTAGTTATCCTCTTTAACATTTTGCCCCCGCTATAGTTCTTCTGTTCTCGATAACAAGGTCTTGTCCAGTTTATTAGGGATTCTGGGTGAAACAAAGCATATTAGCCTTGGGGTCAAATTTCTTGCTGAGAAACAAGAAAGTGATACTCATAAACATGCAACATTGAAAAACATAATTACAATCAGAGATCTGTAAACATCAGATGCCAGGGTGCATTAAAATTTTACCTTGTCCCTATATCTTAATAAAATTAAGTTTTCTTTTTAATTCAAAAATCTAAATATTTTTGAATTTTTTCTTCTTTTTTTCTTCTTTCCTTAGTGTAGTCTCTCAAAACCTCTAAAGTATTGTTATTTTAGCTTGCATAATTGTTTGTGCATCATAATTGCCTTTATGTAAATTTCATAAAAGCAAAACGCTGTTTCTCTATATTTTATTCCATAACTTGCTGACTATTAAACATTGGTCCTGAATCCCAGAAATATTTAAATTTTGTAGATCCCTGAGTATAACTACTTTAAATTGTCTTATATCAAGCAAATTAATACATACAGTTAATTGTTATAATATATATTTATATATACAGTCAAACCCCGCTATAGTGAACACGGTTTATAGTGAACTCCCGGATATAGTGAACGAAATGTTAGGTCCCGTACCTTGCTATACACGCATAATGTTATTTTTTGTGGATATAGTGAACAAAAAAGTGAGGAAGTTGGATATAATGAACTTTTTTCTGTCTTCAACTGATTTTTTTCTTAATTTTTTTTGTAATAATTATGAAATTTTTACTTTAAATTATTACATATACCGATTTTTAAAACCATCTATAGAGCGGAATTTAGTGATAAGCTTCTTTTATCTCACTTTCCCATCCCTAAACAAACCACCTGTAAGATGTCAGTGGGATCAATATGAATTTTCTGTCAGGATTGCTCATCAGCTAAAGATTACTAAATTTTTTTTTTTTTGTAAGCAAGACGAAGAGTAATGAAAAATAACACATTTTTCGCTACTAAATAATATTTTTCAGTCATTTATTTAAATAATGTGTAATAAAAGGGAGGAGTTTGGGATCCATTAGTTAAATTGCCCGCGGAACGGATATAGTGAACTCCCGGTTATAGTGAACCAAAATTTCGGTCCAATGAAGGTTCACTATAGCGGGGTTTGACTGTAATATTAATCTGCTTGATTGAAATCTTGCTGCCCCGCATAGTCCCCTAATTTTCTATCACCTAAATTTGTCCTTTTTAATAAAAATAACTTGATTTGAATGTATTTTTCTGTTCTTAAGAAAAAGATTTATACTCCTTTAATTTAAAAAGTGTGAGTCTCATTGCATTTCTGAATCGTAAAATATTTGCTCTTGTAATTCCTTTCCTTGTAAAATTATGAATGTATAATTTATTTTTTAGAGCTAGATACTTCCCCTCCTCCAAGTCAAGTTTTTCTAACTCAAAAAGATGAAAGCTACCAACGGTCCACATATAAGTTTCGTAGAAAAACCGATAGCAGATCTAGGGATAAATTAACAATATTGCCAAGCCAATCTTTACTAGGAAATAACAAAGGTATATTTATGTAATTTTAAAATATCTTTTTTTGTGGTTGCTTTCTCCCCCTCAGAATTGTTTGTGTTCATTTATTAATTCATTGTTACTTATGAAGTAGTTTATTTTTTAATTGTAATATTTTACTAATTTGTGAACTAATTTTTAATTTTTCTAATCACATAACTTTTTCTTAATGATATTATATGCTTGTCACATTTCAGTTTTGTTTTGAAGGGATTGTGCTTTTATGGGATGAAGCAAAGTCAACTGTTCTTTTTCATTTTTGTTTTTAATTTACAAAAACAATAAACGCACTATAATGAGCAGGTAGACTTCCTTGCCAAAGAGGTTGCCATGCTGTCTTTGTACAAATTGAGGAAGCTCCCTTTTCACACCTCTTAACAAATTATGCAGTCAAGGCGTGAGGATGAACCCTTAGCTAAAATAGAAACCAAGTATGAAAAAAATAATTGTCTCATAGGTATACCTCATAAACCTAAATAGGAGGCAATGGCCATGTTTTGTCTGAGTCTATGGACATATATCACTTGTGTACCGGCAGAACTCTCCATGGAGATTTAAAATCAATGAGATATTGGGAAGCGAGAAGTCTTGTGGGGAAATAACCTTTGGTTATCTCATTAACTTTTCGTTTTTTTCCTTCTTTTTTGTGCTGTTGATTTTATTTTCGATTTCTCTTGTTCATGTCCTCAGCCATTGGAAAAAATAAATAAACATATCTATATATTTTTGCAACTTCAGTAGAATAAGGATTTCCAAACATAGATTCTGCAGGGTTCCTATGAGATTTTCCAGGGTTTCCTTTAAAAGCCTAAAAAGAAATAAATTGATACAAAAGTTAAAATAATTTTATTTTTAAAGATAAATTGCTTAATTTTTATACACTTTTATACAGTGTTACTTCACTTATGTTATCTTGATTTCTTCTATTTTAATTGAGAGATAATTTTATGTTTTGATGTATTAATGTTTCATAGCACTTGTTAAGCTGTATATTGCTGGAAAAAAAATTTTCTAAAATATTTTTAAGCGTTGCTTTAAAAAAAATAGTAAAGAAATCTAGATTTTGTTAGCAAAAAAATTATGCTAAAATTTTCAATCTATTGCATAAAACTACATCTTAATTTTGAAAATTTAAAGTTGAGTTTACACTACTAAAAAAAAAGCACTTTTGTTTTATTAAGTTTTTTTTTCTAAGTTTTTAAATTTCCATGGTTATGGCTCTTATGGTTATGGTTACCTCTTTCAGACAAAAAACTTCACAGGTATGAGGACCACTATCGCATAAGTGGAAGTTCTGCTTCTGGAAGTAATGCATCAGAAGGTAAGTATTAGTTAAAAGCACTTATCAGTTGATAATTTCTTTTATGAAAATATCTAATCTAATTCCAGTTGCATGACTCAAAGGAACTAAACTATAAAACCACCCTTATCTATGAAAAAAAATTTTTTTTTTTTAAACCGGTGATACATTTTTGTAATTTGCAATCATTTTCTAACTTTCGACTTGTTTTAAAAAACTAAATTTTGATTTTGAATACAATATGAACAAACTTTGTAATTGCAAAGAATTATTATTTAGAGTATTATTTTCTTGATAAATTTCTTCTATTGATAGAAAACAAAGAGTGCCTATTGTTCTGTCATCTAAATAGTATCTTTGTTTTGTCAACTAATAGTATCTTTGTACTGATTGCATAATTATGAAAATAATTCAATGACTGAACTTTTATTGCTCTTTTAGCAAAAATTTTATTATTCTTTTTAGATTTATTATTTTTAGACACTTTTGAAATAATAATTTTCAAAAAATAAAGGGAATTTGGGACAAAATTATTTAATTTTTAATATAAGAATACCCTTTTGTGTTTAAAAATTGATTTCGATTAGCAAGTGACCCTTTGGTTATCTTCCTTTTTTAGTTCTTCAATTATTTTACAGTTGTTGGTATGTTGCACAAAGTTTAAAAGCTAGTTTTTTAATTAGTAATACAAAATATTTTTTATAGTTAATGTAAATGCTGCGTTATGTGTTTTAATATTAGAAGAGACTAGATTATGTTTGGTTTAAACGGAACTCCAATAATATTTCGACATGCTATTTTTTTTATTAAAAGATTTCTGCATTCCATTGTCGACAAGTGAATATATTTAGGTGTTCAACTTTTCAAAATTCTTTTTACTGAAGTTTAACAAGCTATTGTCAAAAGGAAAATTCTGTATGTAAATTATTTTTAAGAAGCAAGACTCTGAAAGCTATGTAATTGTTTAAGATGAACATAATTTATGTAAACTAATTTTTATATTTTTTATATTTAGACGGGGAAGTCACCTGGTTGTTTACCGAGTACCTCTCGAATCTAAGACCTCCAATGGTAAGAAAATTTTTATCGAAATCACGATTTTGGATAAATTGTGAGTTTAGTTATACTTTACTGTATGGAAATGGCATACTCTATTAAATTTTTAATGGTTCGTCTATGGAAGTCTTTATTGTTCAATTTAAATACATGATTTGATAAATCGATATTATAGTCTCTGATGTTAATTCTGATAGCACCGGAAGCTGGTTTTGATTCCAATGAGTAGTTTATTCCACTACTAGAATATTTTCTCTTTCCTAACAGTAATGAGATAGCACTTTCTCAGGAATAATTCATGTAAATTAATGTAGTTTATTAGTTTTGAGTTACTTAAATGAACATTTCATAAGTGTTGAGTGAATCTTCTGGAATTATGGCTCCTTAGTACCCAGGACTTTCAAATTTCTAGATTCCTAATTACGAAAAGTGGATCCCTATTTAAATAATGAATTTCTTTGTCCATTTATTAATATTAACGTTCATAGTTCTCCTATCTATATGTAGTCAAAACAAAGAATTTTAAAACACTATTTGAACAACCGGGTCATTTAATTAGGACAGAATATCAAGGAAGGGCAACAGTAGTTAAATACTCAGTTAACTTTCTTCTTCAACTATTTATAAAGAAGAAGAAGTCCTTTGGACTTAGTTTCTTTGGAGATCCTTACTATCCAGGACTTCTGAATTTCTAGATACCTAATTGCTAAAAATGAGTCCTTAAAGCATGAACTTCTTTTTTCCATTTATTAATATTAACATTCATTATTCTTCTATCTATATGTAGTCAAAACAAAGAATTTTAAAACAATTGAACAATATTTGAACAATCGGGTAATTTAATTAGGACAGAACATCAAGGAAGGGCGACTTGCAGTTGGATACTCAGTTCAACTTTCTCCTTTATCTATTTATTAGGAAAAGAAGGATTTTTTATAAATATAAATGTAAACGTGGGGTATAATTTTGCCACTATAAATCTGCCGTTGAGCTTTTTTTCTGCTTATTAACTAATTTTTTACATCCTTTCTATGACTTTTGGCATATTTTATGCGCTATTATGCGTAAGTAGAATCACTGGTGTTGTGTTGTAATTAATTGAATTCCTTTTCACTTCCTAGGTTACGGAACTCTCTCCCTATAGTGTGATGGTGTGCTGGAAACCACCAGATCTGCCATCAGGAGAGCTGGAACCATCACTTTGTTCAACTCTTCAAGAGAGTGAAATAATGTATGAAGTCATGCTCTGTGAAAAAGGAAAAGAAGGGCGCTATAAATCTGTTTATAGGTATCAATTTATTCTTTGAGAACTTCATAAAATATATGCCAGGGAGATATTTTAATTATTAAAAAATGTAAAAATTTTAAGAATTTATTCCTGTTGCATTATTTATTTTAAATTATGATGTTATGCTTTTTGCAATTTTTATACAATTACTGCCATTTTATTACAAAAATATATTAAACATTAAAGGAAAATGCTAGTTTTTTCTGAGATTATTATTTTTTGTTTGAGAATTTATGCTTTTAGATGTACAATAATTTTTTTTTTTATATATAAAATCTTAGGCACCCAATTATTTTTCATTCAAATGTACTTTCGATTTAAAGTTCTCCTGCCTTCAACAGCATTCCTCTGACTACTTTGTACTTATATGCCAGAAATTATGTTTTAAATGTGATGCTGGAGGAAAATAATAATGAATGACAATAAAAAATAATCACAATTACAAACTGGCACTTTTATTTTGAACCTCAATTGCTGCTAAGTAAAATGCGATTGCGAGTTATTTTATTAAAATTAAATGCTTTAATTCTGACTTAACGGAATCGTAATAAATAAAATTGAATTTCTTTGAAGAGGAAAGATGCTTTTCTTTAATCTTTTCTGGTAAGATTTAATTACAGAAATTTGTGCATTAAATAACCATTTTCATTTAATTTTTATTTAAAAGAAACTACAAAAAACCTAGATGTGTATTTGAAATTTTGAACAATAATTATTATCATATTCACTGGTAACTTTAGTGGCATATGAGTATAGCTCATCATTGGTTTTTTACACCATACAGCACACTATGGCGAGTTATACTCATCATTTACTGATAGGGGTTAATGTATAATTTTTGCCAGCTGCAAGAGTTATGATTATATATTAGGCAAAATTTATATTACAAAAAGACTGAGTCTTGCCTTTATAAGACAAACATCACAGAAAACATGAATGATTTTGTTTTAACTTTCTAAGCCAAAGACTGAAAAGGAAAAAAATAGTATTACTTTTCTTAGTGTGTATTTATTACCCATGTGCACTTTTTTTTAATAAATTGTATTTTTTTTGTCTGTTGAAAAATATTAATAAGAATTATGTATTTTTAGTGGACTTGATCACCACTGTAACATAACCTCTTTAAAGCCAGCTACAGAATACTATATTTGGTATGTTTATTTCATTATTTGTTATTCTGTCATGCTTTAACAGTCTTAAAATAACTTTGTTAACTTAAAGTTTGAATTATTTATTTTTATTTATTTATTTATTTTTTGTAGTTAATCTAGAAAGTAAATCTAGTTTGTATAATCAGTTAAATTTTTCCCCATACATTCTTTGCTTCTGTAAACTTTTTTATTTATTTATTTAATTTTTAAAACAAAATCCTTTTTGAAAGGTGTAATTTGATATTGCCATAGAATTTTCATTTTTGTAATTCCATTGATTTATGTTCTGTAATAATTATAAATTCCTATTTTTCTTACTTTTTTTAAAATCTTGATTTGAAGTTAATGAATTTATTTTTCATTTATTTCTCTTCATTGTTTTCTCTTCACTTATTTCTCTTCAATGCTTTAATATATATTTACTTTACAAAACATATGCATTAAAACTTTTATAGAAAAGCTATTTTATTCTATTTCTTCATGTGTTGCAAATGAGGGTTTTTAGATTAAACATGAATATTAAAAAAAGTATTTCCATTATAAATTGTTACATGTGTACTTTAATCTTAAAGTTTTCATGAAACAACTTAAAAGTTAAAATAGTCAATTATTTTTATTTAATTTCAGTCTCCTAATTTCAAAAAATCATATTAATTTTTCAAATGGTTAATATAATATTTTTTTATTTTAGTGTGCAAGCATCTGTTGATGATATTAGAGGCAGTAGTGTTAAAGGTTTGTATGTTTTCTTCATTATTTACCCTTGGTTTAATTTTTTTCTTCCAAACTGTTATATTATTAAACTTTTTTTTTATTTCAATAAATTAGCTTCAATATATTTTTTTAAATCATTTCTTTTCCTGCATTATCTTAGCCTATATTGTATTTGATTTTAATCTCTTTTATGTAAGCTCCAAAGAAATTTTTAATATAGTCTGTACCAAGGTTCAGAAAATCTCTAAATTTTTATTTGTCCTGCAAAGCAATTTAGTCTACAACATAAATATCCTGGGGAAAATTTGCATGCTGCAAGGGTTTTCTTTTTTGAATGTATGTCAATGAAAAAATATAAGTGTAATTAATTAAAGCCCTGTAAATGTTTCAAAGATGTGAAAAAATGCTTAATCTGTGATTGTTCACATGATTACCGAACATCCACATAATTTTTATTAAGCAAAATATCTTAATATACAAGATAAGCTTGTCCTTTCTTTTTTTTTTTTACAAATACAAGTTTGGCTTCTTTTTTAATTTTTATCTATGACTTGTCCTTGATATTCTATCTAACAGTTTAGACCTGGTGAACTGGAAAAAGTCAAGAAATTTTATCAATCTTGGAAAATCAAGAGAATCTCAGTAGATTTAATTAAAATACCATTAAAATCAAGAAACATTCATTTAGGTGGAGGTGTCTAAAAGTCCAATATTTTTTTAAAAGAAATTGGTCTTGTAATAATTATAAATTTTTTTTTATTTACAACTCTAGTAGCAAGTATAAGTGTTTTGTTATAAATTTTATGTGTAAGAATATGGCACATCTAAAAAAAATTATAATAAATGCTATGGTCCCTGTCGTAAAAAAAATCAGGGAAATTTGATAAAGTTAGTCTTGAAAAATCAGTTAAGTTTTTTTTCAGAGTGTTTTTGACAACCTTGTTACTTGTTTAGATTGTATGGTTGTTTGTTTTGGCATTTCCTTATATTTTTGGTATTAAAATTTGAATTTGAATTTCTTTTTATCAATCCAGGATTAACATTTAAAACACCGTCAGTGGAACCTGAAGCACCACAATCACCCAGGTTATATGCAAGAACAAAGAACAGTCTCACATTGAAATGGAATGTAAGAGCTTTCACTGTTTTTTTAACCATTGTCTATGAAATTGCCCATTAAAATTTATTATGATTAGCTTTTTTTTTTGCTGCTCAACTTAATGAAATTGAATGGGATCATTATTTTTTGAATCGGTAGTGATCCTGGACATATGATCTCAATTAAGATTTCCAAATTTATCTGAATTTAAAAAATGTATTTGTTTTGTTCGGAATGATACTCCCCCCCCTTGAGGCAAGGAGCTAGAGCCCTGAGATTAAGTGCTATACAACTGTTTTTTTTTTCTTTTTCTGCAACCTCCTCTGCTCTAGGGCCCTTTTAAATTTTTTATGGTCATTTGAACCTGAGAATACTATCCTTTCTGCATATCCAGTTTTCAATTTCTTATTCTTGTTTACTAAAAGTAAAGAAAAAGTTGTGAGTTTAGTTTATTTGTTTTAAATGAAGTGACAACCAAAATTTATTGACATGTGATTAATGTATTTCGAGATTTATAAATTTATCTGCCACTTTTTGTATACAATGTAACATATACAGCAAGAAACTTTAATACATATGCATAATTTATAATAGCAGATTGAATTATTCTTATGGGATAAGAGTCGGCAAAATTTGATACTTAAAGTTCTTCTGTCAAATAGAAAGAAATTCAGAAAGTTTATTTTGAATTAACATTCTTTGCACTATTCGAATTTGAAATTTTTTTCTCATTTTAAGATCTGTCTGTGAATATATTCAAAATCACGAACTGTAACATTTTGTCCCTTGAAGTAGGGAGAAATGGGACTCTAGTTCACAAATACATCATCATCCTTGTCAATACTTCTGCACCAATAATGAACCCATTTGATCCACCATTTTCTTGCATATATCTCAGTGCTGTACGAACAAGTGACATTTATATAATCTCAGAATCCAAGTCAGTATGATCAGGTTACTGCATCTCCTGCTTAGGCCCACTTTATCTCTTGCTGATTAATTTTACATCTATTTTACCCTTCACTTTTTGCCTTTCTCACATTTTAAGTTTAGAATAGGATCTACAAGGATTTAGGCAAAATGGGGCAGTATCAAACATCCCTTTTAACAAATATAAACAGCAATGTTATTTATTATATGTACATGAGTTTGATCAGAGTGAAAAAAAAAGTAATAATAAAAGAGTTTCTGTGATTTTGCAAGCAATATTCCATGTTGAAATAACACCAGGCACATGGCAGACAGCCTATTGCAATAACTTACAAATAGCAATTTGTAGTCTTTTCAACGGCAGCAATTTTCCCACTCTTTCCTTTTACATATATAATTTTGTATAAGTTGAAAATGAAGATAAAACAAAGGAAAATTACAGATTTATATATATATATATATATATATCATGCATT